TGCATCTCCCTTGGCGCTGCTCACCCCACGCCAGGACAGCAGCACAGTTACACCTGATGAGATACAGGAGACAGGGGGGTCCAAGGCCCTCCCCAAAGCACCCTGCACCCCACTGCACCTGTAGCCCAGCAGGATCCAGGAGGGAGGTCAAAGAGAGTGGCTCTGCCAGGCCCCAGCCTCTCCTACATGCCTCTGAAAGTGCAGGCGTGGGCCAGGCTGGAGGAGTGTCTGGGATGGGGGTTTTGAAGGGGTCCCCAAGCCTCTGTGCACTATCACTGCAAAATCCCAGCCCTTAGTCCCAAATGAGCGTGCATCTCTCCAGGGCAGATGCTTCAAGTAAAACCGGCTATACCTTGACTCTGTGTCTGACAGGTGTCTGCATAAATACTGCCCTGGTGCCAGTGTTTGAGCTGCAGATGTGTCTCAGCCAAGATTTCCCGGGGTGAACATCCCAAGGCAGGCTTCCCCTGGGCCAGGCCTCATTAAAGAGCTGCTCTTGACTCTGTCCCTTCCTTCCTCCCTCTGGCTGCAGAAAGTCAAGCTGAAGAGAAGTACAGGAAAGCAGCACTGGAGGTTGACATGCCAAAAGAGCACCTAGGTAAGGTCAGGAGGAGTCAGAAGCTGGGGCAAGCAAGGGATGCCTGCTGCCCTGCATGTACTTCCTAGGGACTAGCCTGTCCCAGCGGCAAGTCCTGCCAGAGGATGGCACATGGCCTCCCTTGCATGTGGGGTCCAGCCCCAGGGGCTGCCTGTGCTGTCCCGCGAGTCCTAGGTGTGCAGCGCAGAAGCTGCTTACAGAGGCCAGCAATGCTGCAGAGATGGCAGAGAAAAAGAGGAGCGATACAGAAAGCAGATGGGAGGTGGTAGGGATGCTGCAGTGGGGCACTGCCCTTGAAGTACTTCCCCAGCACACTGCTGGGCTGAAGCAAAGCGGGGAGTTTCTTGCTATGACATTCAATCTGGTTCAGGCAGGGCTTGGGAACAGGCATAGGCTGGGGAGGTGTCCACATCACCCTGGCTTTGGGAGCAGAGACAGGCTAGGGATAAGCCACTGAATGACAGAATCATTAAGGTTGGAAAAGACCTTTAAGATCATCAAGTCCAACCATCAATCCAACACTACCATGCCGACTAAACCATGTCCTGAAGTGCCACGTCCACACGTTTTTTGAACACTGCCAGTGGTGGTGACTCCACCACCTCCCTGGGCAGCCTGTTCCAATGTTTGACCACTATCTCTGTAAAGAAATTTTTCTTAATATCCAGTCTAAACCTCCCCTGGTGCAACTTAAGGCCATTTCCTCTCATTCTGTCGCTAGTTACTTGGGAGAAGAGACCAACACCCACCTCACCATAACCCTCTTTCAGGTAGCTGTAGAGAGCAATGAGGTCTCCCCTCAGCCTCCTCTTCTCCAGATTGAACAACCCCAGTTCCCTCAGCCGCTCCTCATCAGACTTGTGCTCCAGACCCCTCACCAGCTTCGTTGCCCTTCTCTGGACACGCTCGAGCACCTCAACGTCCTTCTTGTCGTGAGGGGCCCAACACTGAACACAGGATTCGAGGTGCGGCCTCACCAGTGCCGAGTACAGGAGCCCGATCCCTGCCCTGCTCCTGCTGGCCACACTATTGCTGATACAGGCCAGGATGCTGTTGGCCTTCTTGGCCATGTTCAGCTGGCTGTTGACCAGCATCCCCAGGTCCTTTTCCACTAGGCAGCTCTCTAGCCACTCTTCCCCAAGGCTGTAGTGTTGCATGGGGTTGTTGTGACCCAAATGCAAGACCCAGCATTTGGCCTTATTAAATTTGGCCTTATTAAGCCTCATACAATTGACCTCAGCCCATCGATCCAGCCTGTCCAGATCCCTCTGCAGAGCCTTCCCGCCCTCCAGCAGATCAACACTCACACCCAAGTTGGTGTTGGCTGCAAACTTACTGAGGGAGCACTTGATCCCCTCATCCAGATCATCAATAAAGATATTAAACAAGACCAGCCCCAGTACTGAACCCTGGGAACACCGCTTGTGACTGGCTGCCAGCTGGATTTAACACCATTCACCACAACTCTCTGGGCTCGGCCGTCCAGCCAGTTCTTTACCCAGCGAAGAGTACGCCTGTCTAAGCCACGAGACGCCAGTTTCTCCAGGAGAATGCTGTGGGAGATACTGTCAAAGGCTTGACAAAGTCACTGGTGGGCCAGGGTACCAAGGAGGTACTGGGCAGGGAATAGCCACCCAGTATGGTTTGGCTGGTGCCCTTTGGCTGACTGTGCTCAGGCCAGGGTCATGGTGTGGGTTACCTGTCAGGAAGCTTGTTGGCCCCATGGCGGTCCTGTATATCTCTGGCTCATAGTTCCCTGGAGGGTCATGACCTGGCAAGCAAAAGCTGACAACGAAGGGCTCAAGCGGAGGCTGTGGGACCTGGAGAAGGCACTGGAGCAGGCGCAGGAAGACAAGCGAGAGATTCATGAAGGTCAGCACAGAGGTGGGAGGGGGCAGATGCAGGACTCCACACTGCTGCTGCTGAGCTTACCTCACCTCTCTCTTCAGCCTTGACCGCTCAGCCCCAAATCACCCTGCTTTTGGCTAGCCCTGCTCCCTCCCATGCTGTCAGCATGCAAAGCCTCTGGACATGGACTTGTTGCACCCCAGGTGCCTGTACTCAGCACCAGCAGAGGAGACCACAGAGGCAGAGACTTCCCTGCTGGCAAAAGTCATAGCCTTGCCATTTCTGTTAGTGCTCAACAAGGGGCTCATTTTAGCAGAGGTAAAACCTCAGCCAGAGGTTTGTGGTCTTTGCCACATGCAAAACTCTGTGCTCATTTTCACTCTCCCACGCTCAACAGAGAGGTAAAATTTTCCCTCCAGCGCTCCCTCCTGCCTCCCCAGCACTGTCACAGCCTTGCCAGGCAGGGAGGGGGTGCACGGACGGCTGCTTCTGATGTGTCACCCTGCAAGGGGAGCCCTCAGGCCAGGACTTGCTGGAGCCCCTGCCCGGTCACAGGTGCTGGGATATGAGCACAGGGACTGCCTGTATCTCCTATAGTCACCATGTTTGTCCCCTCTCTGGCTCCCAGAAATGACCCGGCAATATCAGGAGCTGCAGAAGCAGATAGCAGCCCACAGCCAGCGCTTGGAGGCAAAGGTGAAGAGCCTGCAGGAGCAGCTCGGTATGGCCCGCTGGCATGCCTGCCCCTCACCAGTGGGGTGGGGATGGAGTTCACTCCAGGGCAGCAAAGTGTACGTGGGGGGAGCGAGGGGAGATGGGAGTCATTCACCCCGTGCTGTCAGCACGGCAGCAGCTGAAGGCAAAGCCTGACCCAGTGCATCCCCAGCCTTGGGACATGCTGACCACAAAGGGCATGCTTTGATCCCACCCCTGTCCCAGAGCCCTCTGCCACCCGAGGAATGAGGAGGATTGGTCAGGGGCTGTGCCACACATTGCCCATACCCTCCTGTGCACTGGTCACACAGTACCAGGGTCCTGTGCCCAAGTGCTCAGTGTCTCCTGCCTCTGTCCCTGTACCCCACAGCCACAAGGCTCCAGGAGGGCCACCAGACCCAGGAGACTGCGACCCAGGCACTAGTAGAGAGGGACATGACCATCGCCCAGCTGCAGGGCAGGCTTGATACCATGGAGAGGGAGTATGAGAAGATCCTTCACGTGAGTGGGGATGTGGCTGTGGGTGGCTCCTCCTGGCAGCATGGTCCCCCTTCCTCACAGTCCTCTTTCCTGCCAGGGTAGCCTGGACCTTGTGGTGGCCAAGATGGCAGAGGCCAGCCAGCACTGGGAAGAGGTAAGCATGACCATTGCCACGGAGCACAAGGAGTACCTACAGAAGTTCGGCCTCAAATCCCTGGAGATATAGCGCCATGGGGCTCCCAGGACAGGACAGGCTATCAGCCCCTACCTCCCTATCAGCACACTTGGAGAGCTTCCCACATCCACCGCCCACCACCCCAGCTGCCCCAAGCTAAGTAAGATGGGTCTTGTCTGGCCCTGGGATGCACTGTTGACTCACAATTGTCTCCATAACATTACCCACATGAACAGCAGGATGGATTTGTCCTTTAATCACACCTCAAATGGGTGTCGCAGGAACAGCGTTGTGATGGGGGACAGACACTCACTGTCCACGGGTTCACAGGGAGGATGAGAGGAGGAGCACAAGAGAGTTGTCTATGCAAGGGCAGACCTGAGCCAACAGGCTGAGAGATGGGGGTTCCTCCAGCGCCCGGTTGGCCTCTGCTGATCCCTTTCCCCTCTGAACAGTGGCCCAAAGGCCAGCCGTGGTCTGAGCCAAGCCCCAGGCTCCCCAATCCCCTGGGTCATGGCGTGGAGGGCAGTGCCTTGGCTCTCCTGGGAGCTTCCAGAGCCTGGAGCTGGGCAATAGTGTCTGTGTCATGTCAGTGCCATGTCTCTAGATACCCCTGGAGGCAGCTGGGCAGGCAAAGGCACAGGTCTGTCTTCAGGTTACAAGAAGACACCATCATGGTTAATAAAAGCTAAGGGCCAGCCTTGGTCAGTGGAGATGAGTCTCTGCGAGAGATGCTGTCAGTCCCATCGAGGGCATGGAGACACAGCAGCTCTGTGTGGAACAGCCATGCTGAGCAGTGCTGTAGTCTCTGGGTAGCTGGGCAGAGCGCACCAATGGGCTGGACGTGGCCTGGGTCAAGGCGCTGTGTGTGGGAGCATGGCCAGAGGCAAGGTGCTCCTGGGCCGCTAGAACGCATGGTGCAGCCTCCTCTGTTCCTCCTGGCGTGGGCTCTGTGGGGACACAGCGGGGCCATTGTGGGCAGTACACACCCACCCACCCCACCACACTCCACCCTTCCCCCATGGGCATGTTGGAGGGGTCTTTCTGCCTGGTCCTTGTGGCCAGGGACCCATGCAGCCCCCTCCTGCCAGCCTCACAGGTGCCAGGGAAATATTAGGTCAGGCAGGGCAGGAGGGTGCCAGGACTCAGAGCAGTACTGGGCTGTGAGCAGCACTGCCTAGCTGCTCACAAGGGCCTAGCAAGAGAGGTTACCTGTGTGATCCCTATACTGTTGGCAGCAGCCACCAGCAAGGAGCCAGGTCCCTTTGGTCCCACCTCAATGTGACAGAGTCCAGGTGAGCCACTGGGAGAGGGCAGGGAGGGCGTGCGGGAGCCTGAGGCAGGGTCACTGTCCTCAAAGAACAGCAGAGGGGACAGCCCGATCTGGAAGAGCAGAAGAGGGATAGCCGTACGGCTCCTGGTGCGCCACGGCCAGCCAGGTCCCCTGGAGAGGACCTCACTGTGCAGGCCTGGGGGCAAGACACCCATTCCATCATCCAGCCTCACAGCACCCCAGGACCCCCCAGCCAGGGCGGGACCACACTGGGTCCCCAAAACCTACCGACTGGTAGAACTCATTGCCAGCAGGGTCGATGACCAGCAGCGTCACCTGGTCATCACGGGCACGGATCCTGAGCACTGTCTGCTGGTGGTCCAGCCCCTCGATGCTCTCACCATTCACAGCCAGGAGACGGTCCCCTTCCTTCATCCCTGCCTGCTCAGCTGGCAGCCCCACATCCACTTCCCACAGGAACTGGCCTGCCGCAGTGGGACAGAGGGAGGAAGGGGAGGTGCTCACAGAGGCATTCAGACAGATGGGAACTGGCACCGCTGACCCCTGTGTGCAGGTGGGGACAGGGTCCTGCTGTGGGTATAGGGCTTGCAGCTATTCTGGACCCTCAGACATGCCTTGTTCAGGTATGGACTGCCCCCCTCAGCCCCCTCACCGGTGGCCCCTGAGCTACAGTCATCCTCCTTGAGCAGAAACCCGTAGCCAGCCGGACCCTTCACCATGTGCAGCTCCCGGACCTTGAAGGGGAGCCAGGAGGTGTCCGCCAAGGCAGCTGTGACCCACAGGCCCTGCAGGCGGTAAAACTCCTCCACGGCACTGGACGCCACCAGCAGCGTCACCTTGCTGCCACTCTGCTTAAGCTGGATGGGAAACACAGGGTGCTCAGCGACATTGCTGATCCTGGTCCCCCACCCACCTGTGCCAGGAGCACTCACCTTTCTGGCAAGCTGTGCATGCGAGTAGCTCTTCACGCTGGCCCCGTTCAGCTCCAGGAGCCAGGAGCCTTGTGGCACCCCTGCTCTCTCCGCTGGCCCATCCTGCCGCACTGACAGCTGGAAGGTACCTTTTATGCCTGCAGGAAGCAGAAGAGGCAGTCTGGGGTGAGCAGGGTGCTGCACTGGGGAGGCTCATGGCACCGGCATCCCGCTGCTCGCTTTACCTTCT